AACTGGGGTATATTGGGTTGGAGATAGCTGAATACTTTATGACATGGATGGGCTAGAACAATGCTTTCACTTATTCATAAAAGCTTGGCAAATGGCTCTAGACTATATTTAGTTCTTTTGTAGGATACAATATAATTTTATGAACAAAATTATGATCTGCTTTGTATTAAATATTATAAGTATGTTCAGTTTATGTATTATGTATGTATTCATACAGCATTTTTACATGAATAGAAGTCACTGAAACAATACAGATTTGTAACTATAAGGATGGGTTATGCTGCCTACTTCGATCTATCTATGGAGTCTTGAAAGGGAAGCATGGGCCACAGTATAGTGCTGTACAAAGAATATTAGGTTGAGATCATACCTGGTTTCTGAGTGACCCTTTAAGTAAAACTCTTAAATTCACCACATTAATTATTGACTCATACTTACCTTTCTTTATAAGTCATTTAAAGGGCTAAAACTGGGAAAGGGTAGGTTGCAAGTGGAAAATGACTTTTATCCTTAATCCTTAATTTGTTTTTTCCTCACATATTTTTGAGTCTGTAACTTTTTTTTTTTCATGTAGTTTACAGCCCAAGCCATAGACTTATTAGTCTGCCAAATGGCAGGTACCAGTAATTACCACTCACTACATACTCCGTGTATCAGGCAGGATTCTAACTGCCTTTATGTCCATATGATAAACCCATCATCTTCAATACATCAACCAGGAAACAAGCTTTAAGAAATGAAGTTAATCTGATTAGAAGCCCATAACTAATGTGACCAAATGAAGAGTATGATTTGGATTTTATCTGATTTAAACCTCCATGTAGTGATTGTCTCTCCATGTAGGCATGCTGCTTTTTTTTCAAATTCAGGGGAATTTCAGGATTAATAAAGAGATTTTTTTTTTTTTTAAGTACTAGGAATTGAAGTAAGGCCCCATGCCTGTTAAGCATGCATTTTACCACCAAGCTATATTTCTAGCTATTTTCCTACTTTGGTTTTTGGATAGGGTCTTATTATGTAGCCCCGGCTGACCTTGAGCTTACTGACTTTTGCTTCAGTTGCCTGAGTGTTGGGGGTTATAGGCATGTACCACAGGTAGAATCTGTTTGAAGAATAAACTTGTTTCCTTGACTTAGACTTATTATTGATTTATAGAAAGAGAAAAATAAGTTGGGTTTAGTGGCACAGGCCTGTATTGCAAGCACTTGGAAGACTGTGATAGGAATATAATGAATTTTTGGCCATCATGTCCTACATAATCAGATCCTGTCTCAAAAACAGCAAGTTGGGCATGTCAAAAAAATAAAACAGGGCTGGAGAAATGGCTCAGTGGTTAAGAATACTGGTTGTTCTTGCAGAAGACCTGGGTTCGTATCCCAGCATCCACATGGCAGCTAACAACTGTCCATAACTCCAGTTCCAGGGGGTCCGACAGCCTCTTCTGTCCTCCGTGGGCATTGCACAACACGGGCGCACTTATCTACACGCAGGCAATACACGCACATCCACACACACACACACACACACACACACACACACACACACATACACACACAGTAAAATATTTTTACAAAAAACAAAACCTAAATTTGAGAAAAAAGAAACCCATAGAGAGAGAAAAAGAGCAAGAGATGAATTCACCTAGAACATGTGAAACACTTTTAAAAAGTGTTTTGAAAAAAATCTATTTTTAGGCTGGGCGTAGTGGCGCATGCTTTTAGTCCCAGCACTCAGGAGGCAGAGGCAGGAGGATCTCTGTGAGTTCAAGGCCAGCCTGGTCTACATAGTGAGTTCCAGGACAGCTGGGGCTACAGGGAGACCCTGTCTCAAAAAGACCAAAAAAAAAAAAAAAAAAAATCTATTTTTAAAGCAATAGAGCTTTATATAGTTTTGAAATGATGAAAGTATGTGGCTCTTGAATGATTTGCAGGAGCCAAGTAGCACAATTTGAAAGTCTCTTACTCTGGTGCGATCTGTTCCCGCTCACTCTGTAGCAGGGCAGAAAAAAGAGAGAGGTCAAAGGCCACAGGGTTAGTTCTGACTCCTAAGACTAGAACCTCTACCTCTGGCTTCATAGCTACTACTGTTTACTATAGTTACACACTTCTTTGAACTTGATTAGTTGAAGTAAGTTCTACTGACTCAACTTCTAGTTTTGACGCAAATGCTTCTCAGACCATGAATACAAGGGTTATTAGGGTGGCAGAGCCTGGAAATTGCATAAGACTTAAAATGCAAGTTTGTCTTAGAGTTCATTGTGTGGATATCAGTTGTCAAACTATTAGCAGTAGCTCCAATCAAACTTTTATTTGAAATATTCTAGGAAGTTTAACTATGGAAAACTATAGCCCTTTAACCTTAGAATGTTACATTTTCCCTGTTTCCACAGATTTAAAGATCATCCAACGCTAAATGACAGATATTTGTTGTTACATCTTTTGGGTAGAGGTGGTTTCAGTGAAGTTTACAAGGTAAGTAGAAATAGCTGGGTACAAAAACTCAACAATTTGGAGGACATTTTTAGTACTGATAGCTGTGGGTTGATATCTATAGGTTTAAATTCAAAAGATTTAAGAACATATCTTTAGGAAAATTACTTCTGTCTTAGTTACTTTTCTGTTGCTGTGATAAAACCCTGTGATCAGGGAACTTATAGAAGAAAGAGTTTATTTGGCTAATGATTCCAGAAGGTTAGAATCCATAATGGCAGGGGACACATGGTGGCAGAGTTGATCTGAGCAGAAAGCTGAACAATCACATCTTCAAGCAGGCACAGGGAGCAGAGAGAACCTGGAAATCTGGCAAGGCTTAAGAACTCTCAAAGCCTGCCCCTGGTGACCTGCTTCCTCCAACATGGCCTTACCGCCTAAAAATTCCATGATCGTCACCAAACAACTGGGGACCGAGTGCCCAAATAATTGGAGCCTATGGGTGATATTCTCATTCAAACCACCACAGTTCCCAATAAATTTATATAACCAAGAAAGATATACTTTTCACTGGGTTATTTTTTTTTTGGAGGGGGCGGGAAAGGTTTATGACAGGGTCTCACTCTATAGCCCATGCTGGCTTGGAACTCATGTTCCCTAAAACTCATGTCCCCTAAAACTCACCCTCAGCCTCCTGAGTGTTGAGATTTTAGGCATGAACCACCATGTCTGCCTTTTGCTGTTTTGTTTTGTTTTTTTTAATGATTTATTTAATAACCACATACTTAGAAGAAGCACTTCATTACATCAGCATTGACAGATTCAATAACAATTTTCTGAGCTAGGCTGCATCTCTTACAAAATTGGCTGTACAACTCAGTATAAACCCTATAAGATATAAAATTAAATGAGGTTTTAACCTTTGAAAAAGATCTCCATTTCATTATTAAAATACAGAGTTTCATACAGAAAAATACATTTTTAATGCAATTGACATTAAGATGTTTGCACATGAGTTTCTAATCTCTATATATCAGATTGTTACTAATCACAGTCGGTTACTTTCTGAGCTCCTTGGCATCTGAGCATGTATATAAAGTCATCAGGTAGATGTCAATGATAATGTTTTTCACATCTACTAATTATTAAGGAGCAAATTTTTACGCTTTGAAGAATTATTATTTTTTTAATCATTATACTTTTAAAAAAATTTTAATAACTACATGATTAGAAGCTTTTCACTACAGCTTTAACATATTCAGTAACACACTCCAGAGCAAGAGTACATCTCTTTCACAAGTGGATGCAAGTTTCTAGGTTCACAGTTGAATTAATATAGTTATATATTATTGAACTCAGTATAAGCCCTGTGAGACATAAAATTGGATGAGTTTTTAACCTTTAAAAAAGATCTCCATTTCATTTTAGAATATATTGTTCCTTGCAGACAGACTCATTGTTTTTGCTACTAACACTGAGATGTTGGTGCTTGCCTCTTACTACTTTTTTAAAATATTAAAAAAATTTTTTTACTTTATGTATGCGAGTGTATTGTCTGCATGTATGTAAGTCCACCCATGTTGTCCAATGCTTGAGGCAGTCAGAAGAAGGTGTCAGATTACCTGGACTGGAGTTGCAGTTGTTAACTGCCATGTGGGTGCTTGGAATTGAACCTGGATCCTCTGCAAGAGCAGCCAGTGCTCTTAACCGCTGAGCCATCTTTTCAGCCCTTGCTTTAATCATTTTGAAGTATGCACTTAAGTGGCATTAAGTACATTCAATGTTACACACCTGTCACCACTGTCAGTTTCTGTGACTGTAGTGTGACTTGTAGTGCAGTGTTGATTTGATTTTCTAGTACTTCATACCTTTTTAAAAACATTTTATATATTTATTTTTTTTTACTTTTTTACTTATTTATTTTTTTGGTCTTTTTGAGACAGGGTCTCCCTGTAGCCCCAGCTGTCCTGGAACTCACTATATAGACCAGGCTGGCCTTGAACTCATAGAGATCCTCCTGCCTCTGCCTCCCGAGTGCTGGGACTAAAGGCGTGCGCCAACACGCCTGGCTTTATTTATTTTATCTTTATGTGTATGCATGTATTGCCTGTGTGTAGGTAAGTGCACCCGTGTTGTGCATTGCCCGCGGAGGACAGAAGAGGCTGTCAGATCCCCTGGAACTGGAGTTTCTGACAGTTGTTAGCTGCCATGTGAGTGCTGGGATTCGAACCTGGGTCTTCTGCAAGAACAACCAGTGTTCTTAAGCACTAAGCCATCTCTCCAGTCCCAGTACTTCATACTTTTAAAATAAGTGCTCCTAAGTCTGACTGGCAGACCCATGGTCACCTTTTGTTTGTAAACAGCCTTGAGCTTTGATACCAATTGTTCTAGCTCCTTACAATGAACTGGATATCTTCTCTTTTCCTGCCCTGTGACCAGGGCAATATTACCTCCTTGAATGTTTTATGTAGCTGACTTAATAAAATCACTCAGGTAGGAATCATTTTGAAAAAAAAATTCTCTCTCTCTCTCTCTCTCTCTCTCTCTTTCTCTTTCTCTCTTTCTTTCATTTAAAAGCAGTGGCTAGATGCTACAAAGCAGATAGCAATGCCTTAATGGAATGCCTGTTACTAGGACTGAGGACCTCTTCTATCCTTGCCAAGGGGGTGCCAACCTCTCCTTTCATACTACATTGTCTTTGTGTTTCTTCTTGATTTTTAAAAAAATTTTTATTGAATTTTTGTGAATTTCATACATGAAATCATCTTCCCCCTTTCCCTTTGACACCCTCCCGTACCTCCCCCACCACTGGAGTTCATACATTCTGTCATTTGTATTATGTAAAGTTAGTGGCCTGAGATGTCCCTCAGTGTAAGTTCATCCACTCGGATTTAGTCAGCCTATCTAGAGTCTCTCCCTTCAAGAAGATCAGCTCTTCCTCACCCAGCAGTAATCAGCTGCCAGTAATTCTTCAACTAAGATTGGGGCTTGCTGTTCATTTCCACAGTTCTGTGCTCAGTTTTGGCCTAAGTTTGCATCAGTCTTGTGCATGCTGACACCATTACTGTAGGTTTGTATGAGAAGGGTCCCAGGTGCCTGTAGGACTATTTCCATGTGGTCCACCTCCTTCCTGGCTCTTTCTGTGCCCTCTTCTGCAATGATCCCTGAGCCCTGGGTGGGTGGACCTCAATATAAGAGACCTGTCCAGGGACCCACATTCTGCCGACTCTTATGTCTGTGTTTTGGCCATTTGTGGCTTTCTGTATTCCTGGGCCTCTGTTGCATGAAGGAGCTTCATTGACGAGTATTGAAAGATGCATTAGTGTTCTCTTCATCCCTTGTTTTATGTTCCATGAGCCTTATGTGTAGAGGTTGCATCCTGGATATGCCACTTAGGCTTTGGCAATTCACCAAGAATCTCTGACCAGTGGTGTTACTGTAATCTCTGTCAGTTGAAAAAGAAGCTTCTTTGATGGGTGATGATTGGAATACTTGTCTGTAAATTTAATGATCCATATTTTGCACATAGCAAAAAATTATATTTGTCTAGGAATATGAGAGCCTTGGGTTTTCTCTAAGATGTATGATCTCTCCAGCTATGTGTATTTGGCTAAGTTCATAGTACCAGACAGGAGTTTCCTCCCATTGAGTAAGTAGGCTTTAAGTCCAATTAGGTAGCTGTTGATTACCCCCAAGATAAAAGTGCCACTACTACATCAGTGTTGTTTACTATGTTGGTCATTGATGTTGTTTTTAGGCCTTGAAGCTAGGGTTGGACCATTGATTAATGTTCTCCCTTACTGGCTTGCATAGTGCTCTCCAAAGCTATGAGAGCTAGCCTTCAGGGGGGTGGCTTCCAGGTCAGTTCCAGTTCCATTGCTCCAAATCCTGCATCCAAAGTATGTCCTGTCTTCAGCAATAGGCTCTTACCATCAAGTTCTGGGAGGCATTCAAGGACAGTGGCAATAGCCTGTGTAATTTGGGGAGTCTCTTGGACTACCCTGGCCAACAACTTAAAGGAAGGTTTCTCTTGTCTGGCACTGTTTCTTGTTATGTCGTCTTCAGCTATGTTCACAGACTCATTTAGGGATATTGTATTTTTAATTTTTCAGTAGGTTTTTAGACTAATATCATTCCCCCTGGTTTTTTAATACTAGCTAGACACTATTTATATCTCCTCTTTCAATGCCTGTCTTATCCACCCTTCCCAATTAAAGTGTCCCCATTTTCCCCATTTCTCCCTTGATAATTTTTGTATGCTATGGTCCCACCTGTTTTGAGCTCCTTCTTCCTCTTTATTCCCATAGTTCTTTGTATGACCCTCCTTCTCCTCCTCCCCTTTACCCCCTTTTTACACATTTCTCCCTTAGTAATGCCTGTCTCCTACTATTCTTCTCTTTCAAGTTCCTTCTTTCTTTTTACCTCCCTGGTTTCCTTCCATTTACCTGGTTCCTGCAGTTACATCAGGATACACACTCACAAGGATTTGGTGCCTAGGATCCACAGATGAGGAGAACATCTTTTGTTTTTCTGAGTCTGTGTTACTTCATTTAGTATAACAGTTTCTAGATCCATCCATTTACCTGTAAATTTCATTATTTCCTTTTTCTTTACTGCTGACTAGAACTCCATTGTATAAATGTACCACATTTTTGTTAACTACTCATCAGTTGAGGGGCACTTAGGTTGCCTCCATCTCTTAGCTATTGTGAAAAGAGCAGCACAAACATAGTTGTACAAGTGTCTCTGCAATAGGATGAGTCCTTTGGGTATATGCCAAGGAGTACTATAACCAGGCCAAATGGTACGTTCATTTGTAGTTTTTTAAGAGTTCTCCACACTGTTTTCCATAGGGGTTACAGGAGTTTGCAATCCCACCAGCAGTAAATGAGCATTCCCCTTTCTCCATATCGTCACCAGCATTAGGTATCATTTGTTCTCTTGATCCTAGCCAGTCTGATTGGGGGAAGATAAAATCTTAGGGTGTTTTAATTTGCATTTCCCTAATTACTAATGATATTGAACACTTTTTAAGTGTTTAACACTTTCTTAGTCATCTTTATTGTTTCCTTTGAGAACTTCTTTTAGTCTGGACGAACTGTAGTTCAATTTCCTTATGTGTTATGGGTCTGTTTAAACTGTTGATCTCTTCTTGGTTTAACTTTGGTGGTTCCCATAATTTTAGATACACATCCATTTCTTTTAGGTTTTCAAACTTAATAAAGTATAGGTTTTTTAAAAATATTTTTTAATTTATTACTTTTATTTTATGTGTACAAGTGTATTGCCTGCATGTATATGAGTGCACCTGTGTTGTGCAATGCCGCAGAGGTCAGAAGAGGGCTTCAGATTCCCCTGGAACTGGAGTCAAGGATGATTCGTAGCCGCCATGTAGGTGCTGGGAATCGAACCTGGATCCTCTGCAGGAGCAGTCAGTGCTCTTAACCGCTGAGCCATCTCTCCAGCCCCGTAGGGTATAGGTTTTAAAAGAATTCCCTTATAATGTTCTCGATCTTTTGGGTGTCCGTTGTGATGTTTCCCTTTTCTTTGCTGGTTGTGTTGATTTGGAGGTGCTCTTTCTTCTTTTTGGTTAACTGGGCTAAGGGTCTCTCTCTTTTTAGCTTTCTAAAGAACCAGCTCTTAGATTCATTGATTCTTTGTATTGTTTTCTTTGTTTCTATTTCATTAATTTCTGCTCTGATGTTTGTTATTTTTTCTTGTCTGCTAGGTTTAGGTTTAATTTGTTCTTGCCTTTCTAGAGTCTTGAGTTGCAATGTTAAATGATTTATTTGTGCTCTTTCTTTTTTAATGTAGGCATTTAGAGCTATAGACTTCCCTCTTAGGACTGCTTTTAAAGTGTTCCAGAGGTTTTGTTGTATTGTCCTTTTTGTTTAATTCCATGAATACTTTTTATTTCTTTCTTAATTTCTCCTTTGACCCACTTATCAATCAGGAGTGTGTTGTTTAATTTCCGTGAGTGTAGTTACTAGGGCTTCTTCCAGTGTTGCGTTGTGGTCTGGTAGAATGTATGGAATTATTTCTTTTTGTTGTTGTAGTTTTTGTTGAGGTTTATTTTGGGCCCCAGTATGTGGTCAATTTTTGAGAAAGTTCCATGGGGTACTGAATAGAAAGTGTATTCTTTGGTGCTTGAGTAGAATATTTGGTAGATGTCTATTAGGTCTATTTGATTTATGGTATCATTTAATTCAGGTGTCTCTCTGTTTTTCCTTTGTCCATTTGACCTGTCTAATGGAGACAGTGGGGTATTGAGTCCCCTACTGTTACTGAGTTGGAGTTAATCTGTGTCTTAAAGTCCTATAGTATTGTTTTTATGGATTTGGGTGTATGAGAGTTGGGTGCATATATGTTCATGACTGTAATATCTTCTTGGCCAATTTTTCCTTTGATCAGAATGAAGTGACCCTCTTTATCTCTTCTGATTAGTTTCATTTATTTTATTTAGTTTTATGAAGTCTGTTTTGCAGGTAGAATTGCAACCCCTGCTTGTTTCTTATTGCCATTTGCTTGAAATATTCTTTTCCATCCTTTCACCTTAAGGTAGTGCCTGCCCTTGAAGGTGAGATGGGTTTCTTGTAGACAACAAAAAGATGGATTTTGTTTCTTAATCCATTCAACTGTCTTGTGTCTTTTTACTGGGGAGTTCAGTTCATTGATATTTAAAGTTATTATTGAAAGCTGTGTACTGGTTACCATCATTTGATTACTGTTTGTATTCTTTGTCTAATTTTGTGTCTTTCATTTAATTTTTTTCTGTTGCCCCTGGGGCATAGTTGTTCCTTTCTCCATTCTTTGTATTACTTCAAGTATTCTTTGAAGGACTGGTTTTGTGGCTATGTATTCTTTCAGCCTATTCATGTCATGGAATATTTTTCTTGCCCCTTCAACTATAAGAGACATTTTTGTTGGGTTAAGTAGTCTGAGTTGGCATCTATGGTCATTTAGGACTGGGAATACTTTGGTCTAGGCTTTTCTGGCTTTCATAGTTTGCATTGATTAAGTCAGCTGTAATTCTGATGGGTTTTCCTTTATATGTGACTTGTTTTTCTTTTGTAGCTTTCAGTATTGTCTCTTTGTTCTGTACCTTTAGTGTTTTTACTATGATGTGCTGTGGGGAGTTTCTTTTCCTGTCGTGTCTATTTGGTGTTCTAATTTTGGGAAATTCTCTACTACAATCCTGTTTAGGGTCTGATCAGTACCGTTAACCTGAGATTCTTCTCCTTCCTCTATGCCTGTGATACGTAGATTTGGTCTTTTCATGGTGCCCCCCATTTCCTACATATTCCATTCCTGTGTTTCTTAAGTTTTTTCATAATCTTTGCATGAGGAGTCCAATTCTTTAATTTTACCCTCCAGTGTTGATAATCTGTTTTCCATTTCATTCATTCTATTGGTGAGGCTTTCCCCTATTGCTTCAAGTTGGCTTTATTGAGTTTTTCATTTCCTTCTTCATTTCAGCCTTTCTTCAATGTTTCTATCTCTTCAGTGCGTTTTCTTCCATGTTTCTCTCTTTTGTGAATTCAGTCAGTTTATCCCTATCTTCTTTTAGTTCTTTGTTTGTGTGTTCTTTAAATTCGTTGAATTCCTTGATCATGTTTATGATTTTTCTTTTAAATTCTGTGTACTGGGTCATTTCTAGGGGGTTCTCCTTGTAGAACTCTTCTGCAGGACTGGT